GGTCACCTGATCTTCGACAAGGGCCCAAAGTCCATCAAATGGGGAAAAGACAGTCTTTTTAACAAATGGTGCTGGCAAAACTGGAAGTCCGTTGTAAAAAAATGAAACAGGACCCATACCTCACACCATATACAAAAACTACTTCAAAATGGATCAAAGACCTAAATATAAAGCCAAAAACTATGAAGTTCATAGCAGAAAAAATGGAATCAACACTAGAAGCCCTAATACATGGCATTAACAGGATACACACATAACCATCAACACAAAAACTCCAAAAGATAAGCTAGATAACTGGGATCTTCTAAGAATTAAACACTTACGCTCATCAGAAGACTTCACCAAAGGAATAGAAAGAGGACCTGAAGACTGGGAATAAAAATTTGGACATTGCAAGTCAGAGAAAGGTCTAATCTCTAAAATCTACAAGAAAATCCAACACCTCTACAATGAAAAGACAAATAATCCAACTAAAATATGGGCAAAAGAAATGAACAGACACTTCACCAAAGAAGACATTCAAGTGGCCAACAGACGCATGAGGAAATGCTCGCGATCACTAGCCAGTAGAGAAATGCAAATCAAAACCACAATGAGATACCTTCTCACCCTGGCATTACTGGCAAGAATCAAAAAAACCAGAAATAGCAAATGTTGGAGAGGCTGCAGGGAGATTGGAACTCTCATACACTGCTGATAGGAATGGAAAATGATACACTCATTTGGAAAATGATATGGTGCCTCATTAGGGGGCTAGAAATAGAAATACCATACAATCCAGCAAACCCACTTCTAGGAATATATCCTAGAGAAATAAGAGCCATCACACAACTAGACATGTGCACACCCATGTTCATTGCTGCATTGTTCACAACAGCAAAAAGATGGAAACAACCTAGATGCCCATCAACAGATGAATGGATAAACAAACTATGGTACATACGTACAATGGAGTATTACACAACAATAAAGAACAAAGATGAATCTGCGAAGCATCTTGTAACCTGGATGAAACTGGAGGACATTATGCTGAGTGAAATAAGTCAATCACAAAAGGACAAATATCGTATGAGACCATTACTGTAAAAAGTCATGAAAAGGTTTACACACAAAAAGAAACAATCTTTGATGGTTAGCAGGGATGGAGGTGGGAATACTAAATAGACAATAGATAAGTGATAACTTTGGTGAAGGGCAAGACAGTATACAACACTGGGGAAGCCAGCACCACTTGTACAAGGAAAAGCCATGGAAGCTCCATAGACACATCCAAACTCCCTGAGGGACCGAATTGCTGGGCGGAGGGCCGTGGGGACCACGGTCTCAGGGAACATCTAGCTCAATTGGTATAACATCATTTATAAAGAAGATGTTCTACGTTCTACCTTGGTGAGTAGCATCTGGGGTCTTAAAAGCCTGTGAGCAGACATCTAAGATACTCCACTGGTCTGACCCCTTAGGGAGCAAGGGAGAATGAAGAAACAAGGTAAAGATTAGTCCAAAGGACTAATGGACCACAACTACCATGGCCTCCACCAGACTGAGTCCAGTACAACTAGATGGTGCCTGACTACCACCACTGACTGCTCTGACAGGGATCAAAACAGACGGTCCCAGACAGAGCTGGAGAAAAGTGTAGAACAAAATTCTAACTCACAAATAAAGACCAGACTTGCTGGCCTGACAGAGACTGGAGAAACCCCAGAGTATGGCCCCTGGACACTCTTTTAGCTCAGTAATGAAATCACTCCTGAGGTTCACTCTTCAGCCAAAGATTAGAAAGACCCACAAAACAAAATGAGACTAATGGGGCATAACAGTCCAGAGACAAGGACTAGAAGGCAGGAGGGTACAGGAAAGCTCGTAATAGGGAACCCAAGGTTGAGAAGGGAGAGTGCTGACATGTTGTGCGGTTGTTAACCAATTGTCATAAAACAATACGTGTACTAATTGTTTAATAAGAAACTGCTTGTTTTGTAAACCTTCATCTAAAGTATGATAAAAATTAAAAAAAAAGAAAATTAAATTTATACAATAACATAACTCTGGAGAGAAATTTGAGGAGATATATGTCCCAAGTAAAACACCTTTGGATGGTATCCCTAGAATTGAACATGTTTCCAGGTATACAGACGTTGTTTATTACATGTTTATTGGGTGTATGGCTAAATAAATGAAATACCAAATGTAAATTTCTAGTCTATCCTATCCTATATAGAAATGGAGCTGTGGAACCAAAAAGAAGAAAAGCCACAAACAAGGATTGTTGTCGTTGTGTGCTGTTGAGGTGATTTTTGATTCATAGCAACCCAAAGCGACAGAGTAGAATTGCCCCATAGGGTTTTCTAGGCTGAATTCTTGGCAGGAGCAGATCATCATGTCTTTTCTCCTGCAGAGCCACTAGGTGGGTTTGAACCACCAAAACTTCTGTTAGCAGCTTAGCTCTTGACTGTTGTGCCACCGGTGCTTCTTACAAATAACTCTAATGGGGCAAAATTAGAAAGAGGAAATTAAGAAAATTATTTTGACGCTAGAAGAATTTGTACATTGTCAGCTATTTTTAGCAAAAACTTCTAAAGACTAAATGTATCCAAAATGTAATTTGAAGACATTACCACAACTGTATAATCTCCTTGGGGTCAAGGGCTATCTTTGAATTGACAGTGTTATTCTTCTACCTAGCCAATTTCTCAATAAATGTTTTGAGAAAGCCTGAGCGGAAAATGAAACGAAGAGGGAGTAAATGAAAACTGATATTTCTCTTAAGTAAGTTTCCATCAGATACCCAACCACGTACATGCAACCCATTATTTCATCCCACCCCTACTGAACCATCCACTATCCATACAATGCTCTGATACCTGGAATCAGCTTCACGGCATTCTCTAGGTACTCATCTTCTGTAATAAGGTGACCATTTAATTTCAACTCCAGAGTGAAATCTCGTACAGCCCAGATAAAGTCTGGAAAGAAACCCACAAACTCTGTGGAATCTTCTACTCCATCAGGTCTTGGGGACGACTTTGCCCTGATTAGTTCCGTGAGCTCTGTCACATAACTATGACTTGGATAAGGAAAAGAAACTCTGTACCTCACAATGTCTATGTTTTCCATATTATAAGTTATTATAAATACTCTCTTTTGCTCTGTATCCCCTCTGCTCCACCAAGGCAATTAAGCTACAAGAGAAAGAAATTAAGAAGAGAACCTGACTTGGCCCATATTTCCATAATTTCAATAAAGCATTGTAGTTCAATTCTTGGAAGGATACTGTAGCTGCTCCAGGGCCTGGTGGTTGATGGTGCCCATGCTATTGTAGACAAAGGTGCTGCTCAGAAGCACAGCCAGTGCAAAGATCCACGAGTCATTCTTAGTATCTCCCTAGAAAACACATTGCAGTAAGAGACTTAGGGATTATACTGGAAACTCATTCAGACATTTATTCTATCAGTTTTTCACTTATTATTTCAACCAACATACTGGCTGCGCAAAGAAATAGGTTTTGTTATGGATTCAGTTGCGTCCCCTAAAAAGAAACTGGAAGTCCTAACCCCTATAACCAGTAAATATGACCCTGTTTGGAAAAGGAGTTTTCTTTTATTGTTAATGAAATCATACCAGATATGGGTCCTAGACCTAATCACTGCTGAGTGATGTCTTCTAAAAAGAGCAGGATAGACACAGAGATGCAGAGTAGGGAGACAGACACAGAGGGCAGATGTATCTGTAAGCACAGGGATGTCAAGGATTGCCAGCAGCTACTAGAGCTAAAATAGAAAAGAAGGATGTCCTCCTAGAGCCATGTCCTGAATTTGAGTCGCCGTGAGTCGGAATCGACTAGATGGCAACTAACAGCAGCAACAACAGCCTCCTGAACTGTGAGAAAATAGATTTCTGTTCTTTAAAGCCACTTACTCGTGGAATTTTGTTATGACCAAAACTAAACCAAAGCAATGCCATCAAGTAGATTCTAACTCATAGAGACCCTACAGAACACAGTAGAACTATAGGGTTTGCCAAGGAGCAGCTGGTGGATTCTAACTGTCAGCCTTTTGGTTAGCAGCCCAACTCTTAATTGCTGCACCACCAGGTCACACACAACCCTAGGAAAATTAGACAGATGTGAAGTCAGACATGAATGCAAATCTCAGCTTTGACCATTACAATGACATTTCCTGTGACTGCAATTTCTTCATCTGTTGAAGGATTCTAATCCTCACAGGGTTTTCTTTTTCCTTAAGGAAATGAAATAAGTTAACCTATAATGAATATCTAGTACTACTGTACTAGTGCAATTAGGCATGCAATTAGTAATCATTCAACACATTTATTTATCATGGACTATATAAAATATACAATACTAACTACAAGAGGGGATTCAAATTATATCCATGTAAATTCAATAAATATAAGCAGCTACTGAAGGTTTCCCACTGTTCTTAGGTTTACAGAAGCAAAGTTAGTGACAGCAGCTTCACTCTCAAGATGACCATTTCAAAGTGGAGACAAACATGCATAAACATGAATACAACAAAAATGACAATATCTGTAAAGAGCTTACAGCTGAGTAATCGATAGGAACAGTAGAACTTACAGCCTTAATAGTAAATTAAAATGATAAGTCTATCGAGGAAGAATAGAAGCTATTAAAGTTGCAGAAAGAGTGCGTAATATGAAGGCTTCCTAGAAGCCTCGAGCTGGGTGTTAAAGAATTAGTAGAATGTGCACTTGAACAAATGAAGTGATCCTACAGATAGGCTCACAGAAGTAAAATCAAAGATGTTAGAATTCAGGGGTCCTTTGCAATAAGCATGGAGTTATTTGGTTTGACTGGAGCAGGGAACAGGTGCAGATGAGACTATAAAACGAGCTCTGGTGCAGGCTCATGAAGGACCTCACAGGCTGAACTAATTCGTTAGTCTAAATTATAGCACTGTCTAAATTATAGCATAATCCAGAAATTGTTACTGCTATAAACAATGTGTAAAACGTGGCACTAATGCCTTGAACAAAGGCAAAACTTTGAATTTATGCCTAGAAGACTCAACATGGGAAAGTGGGGAAAAATAGCCTAGGCAATACTTAATTTCCCCAAACACTAACTTTTTTTTAAAAGTAATCAATTAGGACACAAAGAAGTGGGTCTTCTGAAAAACAATAAACTGTTTAGACAACAAGAGTATATCTTTTCATATCTGGTTTTAAAAGTAAACACAGAATTTAGGCAGAAATGGAGAGCTACAGAAATTTAGATACTATATCCAAATCTGCCCTAAAGTACCAAAAAAGAAAAAAAATCATCCATTTCATCTATTAGTGTAAAGACCAAATACCAAAAATACACATTAAAGTGTCTGTTGTAGATCAAGAGTATGCTTTCATAGAACCAGAGCAGTTAGAAGTGCATCAAAGCCTTCCTGAATGTTCTGTGTCTGGTTGATGACTTTTACCATAGCAAATGTAAATTCGACTCTCAGCGCAAACCCGAAAATACACACTTCACCGGGTACCTCTGAAGGTCAATCAGAAGCCTTTCGTGATCCCCTGGAATGGGAGTGATGGCTCTCTTCTTTCTTAACAAGGCACCCTAATACTTAGGTGTATGTGGTGATGGTTGTGATATGCTGCCTGGATCCCCCTTAGGGACTGAAGAAACTATTCCCCCAGCTGTTGGGAGTACTGATGGAAGACAGCCCTAAGCTGTCAGCCCTCTTAATGACAAAGCCTTCCAGGGTAGCCTTCCAGTGATTAATCAGTAACTGGAGATAAAGGACCAGTACTCTTGTTCCAATTCTGGATAATTCAAAAGGGCCGTTCCAGTTACAGAGCTTCCCATGGATTTGACAAAGGTGTGGGTTTGCACTGCAGTGCAAATTCTCCCTCTACCTAACCTACTTCGTTCCCAATCACATTGTATTAAATCTGAATGCATAGGTGTGGTCTCCTCAATTGGCCATAAGGCTTTTGAGGGCAGAGTCCTTATTTAGTTACTAAAATCTACAGTACGAAGTCCAGAGCCCTGGTGGAACCTATTTGCTCAAAAGTATCAAACTGAATCCAATCATTCAACCCAGTGCCAAAAAATAAAACAAGAGCTTACTAATATACCACGATATCTGATCTTACCTAGTAGTGAGGTTCAAAGAGACCAAAATTTGCTTCATTTGCAAAATTGGATTTTTAGATTTCGGGAATACATCGCAAAAGTTACAAAGGACCAAGAAGAGATAAGGAGAAAATTCAGAGTAAAAGAGTCTTTCTGTGACTCTCTGCCTTACCTTTTCCACATCACCCAGACCCTCAGTGTCCAGAAGGACCAGGGTGTGGTTGGGCTTGGAGGGGTGGGGTATACACCACATCCAGATGCCCTTGGTTTCAGACTGCACCGTGGAGCCCAGAGGGAAGCCTGCCAGGAAATAGGAGAAAGCAACATACAGTGATGGCAGATAGTCCGGGCTGCCCAGTTACTGCTCTTGAAAATCTTGCAGACTTGAGCATTATAAGGGCCTTAGGATACAAGATGGTGCTTTCTCCACTTCATCAAGAATGTCACCTTTGTGTGTCATCTATTTCAAGGAGAAGGAAGGACATCAGCTGTGAGAATGATGCCAACCAAAGGCTCAAGATGGAGACAAAGAGGCAACCACTGCATCAGACAAAATGGAGGTCATTTGTAACTGTAACCAGAGCAGTTTGGAGGAATGGCAGGGTCCAAAGCCAGAAAGCAGTGGATTCAAGAGAGGACATTGGAAGGGAAAAAGGAAATTGAGACAGTATATTTTGTTTTGCAAAGTGGTTAAAAAAATGAGTGGTAGCCATAATGGGATGTGGAGCCCAGAAAAGATTGTTAAGATGATAAATATTCAAACATCTTTAAATGTCAATAGGAATACTCCATAGAAAAAGGAAGAGAGAAGGGAGAACAATTGCAGGGGCCCAGTTCTTGATCACATAAGAAAAAGGGAAATTATTAGCACCAGCAGGAAAGATTCTCCTTACCAGGAGTAAACCAAAAATTACGGGAAGAGATTATAGTAAGGGAGTAATGTGGTAGTTAGAATGACAAGGTTGTTTTATAGAGGAGTTAGGTTCTCTCTTCAGGTGAATCGGGAGGAGAATCAAGAAGCTGAGGTAAAGCTGGAATCAAGCAAATGGCTCCCGCCCCAGAACAACACTCACCATTGTTCTGTCCCGCCAGGCAGTTCATCAGGTAGGATTTTCCTGTACGATACAGCCCAACAATGGCCACCACCACCACCGGCTGAGATATCTTGTCAAGAATCTCTACAGCTTGCTGGTTCACCTTCAGCCTCTGGTTCTGGTTTTCCACCAGACAAATGGGGACCGTCATGGTGGGTCCAGATGCCATGGTAACCTGCCAACCTAGAAGAGCCTGTCCGTAGAAATAATATCATAATGTCATTCTCTGCCTTAGGGCGCCCAATGCATGAGTACATCAACTTAGGGCTACTGGAACTTCTGCACTTTTCTATGGGACAAAATGTAGGCTAGCTTAACTGACTACAGAGCACTTTCTCCATCATTAACCAAATCTCTGATGATCTAGTGATAAAACATAGGTTGACCACTCTCCAAAGTTTTACTTCCATAACAACAGTAAAATTCAAGCATTTAATAGCATGGGTTGAGTACCTACAATATGAAAGCCCTGTGATACATGTCTTACATACCTGATCTCATCCATACTTAGAAGAACCTGCAAGTTAGTGATTAATATCCACTTTGCAAATGAGATAAAAGATAAAGCCAATAAATCATGCAGCCAGAATTAAACACCTGAAAGTGTTGTAACCACTTACCTGGCAAAATAATCTTCCTCAGAAACACTGGTTAGCCTATAAATTCTTCGATCAACAACCTACGGTAGCTGTCTAGCGACCGTCTTAAACCAAAATGTGCCCTCTAAGGCATTACTGTGCCTAGATGGTCTCCTCTTTTTTCTACAGTCTTAGTAAAAACCCTAGTGGCTTAGTGGATACGAGCTATGGCTGCTAGCCAAAAGGACAGCGGTTTGAATCCACCAGGTCCTGCTTGGAAACTCTACGTGGCAGTTCTATTCCGTCCTGGGGCTCGCTATGAGCCAGAATCAACCAGGGGATCCTTGGAAACTCTATGGGGCAGTTCTATTCCGTCCTGGGGCTCGCTATGAGCCAGAATCCACCAGGGGCTCCTTGGACACTCTATGGGGCAGTTCTATTCCATCCTGTAGGGTCTCTATGAGCCAGACTTGACGGCAATGGGTTTGGTTTGGTTTTTTGGTTAGTAGAGTGACAGGGATAGGAGTGAGAAGTGGATGAATGAGAAGCTGTATGGGAATGAGGAAGATCTAAAGAATGCAGGTTCCCTTCCTTAAAGGTATGATAGGATAATGTCCTGATCTTAAATGATACAGGCTTAAGTACTTTGCTGAGAAAGGTTGGATTCTCTGCAACTTACTCCGAAGAATGGGAACAAGAAAAAGAGTAGAGTAAGAATAAGAGTAATGATAGACACTGATTGCTCTGACCAGGATCACAACAGAGGGTCCTGGACAGAGATGGAGAAAAATGTAGAACAAAATTCTAACCCACAAAAAAAGACCAGACTTACTGGCCTGACAGAGACTGGAGAAACCCTGAGAGTATGGTCCCGAGAAACCCTTTTAGCTCAGTAGTGAAGTCACTCCCAAGGTTCACCATTCAGCCAAAGATTAGATAGGCCCGTAAAACAAAACAAGACTAATGGGGCACAACAGTCCAGGGACAAGGACTAGAAGGCAGGAGGATTCCGAGAAGCTAGTAATAAGGAGCCCAAGGCTGAGAAGGGACAGTGTTGACATTTTGTGGGGTTGTTAACCATTGTCATAAAACCATACGTGTACCAACTATTTAATGAGAAACTATTTGTTCTGTAAACCTTCATCTAAAGTACAATAAAAAGAAAAAAGAGTAAAGATAGAAACAGGAATAGGGAAAGGGGAAAATGAGAAGAAAAACAAAAGAAACAGAAAAAGACTAACAATCTGTCACTTAATGTTATATAGAGGGACATAACCAAAATCACACCCAGTTAAGTCAATTCTGACTCACAGCAACCCTGTAGGACAGCGTAGAACTTCCTCATAGAGTTTCTAAGGCTATAGTCTGTATGCAAGCACATTGCCACATCTTTCCTTTGCCAAGAAAGTGGTGGGCTTGAACTGCTGACCTTCAGTTAGCAGCTGAGCATTTAGCCACTGCACCACCAGGGCTCCTTAGAGGGACGTACAGTATATGTGTATTTACAGAGCTAAAACAAATGTGACAAAATGTCACCAGAAGGTGAAAGCTTCATTGGATTGTCATTGTAATTTTTTTTTAAGACAGAAGTTTACTTTTTAAAATTAAGTATTAAAACTACAATTATTCCATGGGTCTCCTGGCACGTTTTTGATTGCCATTATATTAAAATGATATTCTATCATATCAGTGTGTTTTTCATAATAAAAATACATAAACATAATATTATGCTCAAAAGTCTTAAATATTAAGTTTTGTATCTATATGGTAAATATTCAAGAAGCATCTAATGCCATCAAAAGTGCCAGCTCTGTCATTTACTACTTGTGAGGCCTTAAAAAGGAGTCTCCCTTGACTAAGCCTTAGGTAATTAGGAGGATAACGTGAGCAAAATTATAGGTCTAATCTTCAGGGTGTTTTGGATAAGTAGGTGAGATACTATAAATTTGTATCTTAGCACAGTATGCAGTACAAAATAGACTTTCAGTAAAAGTTATTAAATGAGATGGAAATTAATCTACAATCATTGCAATGAATAAATTGATCCACTCCACTAATTGAGAAGTAGAAAAGTGGTAAGACCACACCCTGTTAAATGTGGAAAACTTGCAACACCTGAAAACACAAGGCAGTCCCATCCAGTTCCAGCTCTCACAGATTTCACTGTATATTTCAACAGAATCTCTAAACTCTAAATTACTAACAGCAAAGTATACAAATTAATATTTCATTAGAGAAAACCAGGAATCAAGTACAAACATACTGCTCCTGTACAATTTCTTTTTGTCTGCATCTTCAGCGTGAGGAGCAAGGAATATGGAGGTAAAACATGAGCCCTTAAGAGCAGTACTTCCATTACTTGAGTTGAACAGTACCCTCTTTAAAAGACTAAAGAACACTGTCGGGAGATGTGGATGTTATTGCAAATAGTTTTATAAAAACCAGGTCCATTGTTTATTAGCTGTGAATGAACCACAGAACTTTTAACCTCAAATTGACGAAGTACAGGTGCTTGATCCTGTTCAGGTGTTTTTTATTCCAAATGAGATGGATGTACATAAGAATCATTTGAAGGGATTGGTAAATCCGATTCCCAGACCCATGTATCTATATGTGTAATAAGTGTTACATGTGACTCTAATGTACCTAGGAAAAACACACGCGCACACAGCGTTCTGACTATATAGTTATTTTTAACTTAAGATCAACAGTGTAGGGATTAAATTTATTTCTACATAGATATTTAGAATAATAAAATCTTACTCTGAAGCTTTCTTAAGTGTGACTAATAGAAACAATTTCTTTATATTACAATTCCCTGTAAACTCCCAGAGGGAGATAGTCTTGTTTTCTGTATTCCCAATGCCTGCCATAGTGCCTGACTGAGGGAGGCTTTTTCTATTCCACATGCTGCTGCCCTAAGTCGGTGTTTGAAGAACAGCACATCCAAGGGAACAGTGTGCCTGGCTGTGTCTCCCAGCTAGTTGCCTCTAGTCCAAATGGAGAAAGTGAACTTCTCCTGAACTAAAGCCAGCAACGGACCTCTCAGGCCAGACTATCAGGCAGCTTGCCCTTCCTGCCTATTTCTCAGTTATAATTTTGAATTAGAAATTGAAGGGTTTAAATTCAAGACTAAATTGCATGTAAAAGAAAGTGAACATACCTGTTCCACTGCACAGGAGCAAGTTCTCGGTTGCCTCTCACTCCTTGCCCTCTTTCCTCCTCCCACCTTTCTGTTCAGCCTTTATAGAAGCTGAAAAAACAGAGGTTGCCAATCATTCCCATAAATGGAATGGTGCAGTAAAACTGATACTGAAAGGAAATGCAATTCATGGTATTTTAGACTATTAGAAGAAGGACATCTGAATTAGCTGACTAAAGCATGAGTGCATGGGTGTTTGGTGAGGGAGTGAAAGGAGGTTAGAAATATCCATAATCAATAATCATGCTTTAGTAAATTCAGTCCTACCAGCTTTCTCTACCAGCTTACTCTAGTGTCAATAAATTCTCCCTGTTTTCCTTATATCTGCCCTTCCTGATTTAATAGGCTCAATACACTGGCACGTGTGTTTCTCTGATTCCTACTAGTCCATGGTAGTGAAGCCTCACAATTCTTTCGGTGAGATTGCATTTCTTTCTGAAGAAGAGAATCCATTTCCCTGCTGGTGTAAGTACAATGAGGGAGGTGAGCACAATCTTGAGGTGGACAAGCATCATCTCATGAATCAGCTGCCTTTGGTGAGTCTTTTCATGGTCTCCATATAAGGGGACGTTACTCTCAAGAAGAGAGCCTCTTCTGCTGCCTATAGAGTGTGAGTTTTTCTACCCAGATGTTTCAAACCCAGGACTTGGGCACCAATCTTTCATATACGGATCCTCACTTCGGCATAAGGAGTCCTGGTGGCACAAACAGTTAAGAGCTAGGCTGCTAACTGAGAGGTTGACAGTTCAAACCCACTCACAGCTCCACAGAAGAACGACTTGTCAATCTACTTCTGTAAAGATTACAGGAAAGAAAACCCTATGGGACAGTTCTACTCTGTCGTATGGGGTCACTATGAGTCAAAATCAGCTGGAAGTCACCTAACAACAACAACAACAGCTTTGGCATATGAAATCTCTTGAAGATCTACATTCAGTTTTCTTGTTAGCGTTGCTACCCTTGCAATTAATTTCTGGGACTGTTTTTGAGCTCAATTTTTTCTGTGGCTGCAGGAGATAATGGTCTCTTTAAATTGCTATTCTAGATATTTTCTGACTTTCACAGCATATCTTGAATTAATAATTGGCTAAGCCGAGGCAGTCAGTCAAATTTTTTCAAGTTTATTACATCATTAATAAAAGTAACTACACAGTCCTTCTCAATTGTCCCCGTACTACACAGGGGCCAATGTTTCAGCATCCCTCTGTACCTCACTCTAAATCAACCACTGGAGATAATCTAGCTCAGGGGTCTGCAAACTTTTCCCATAGAAACCCAGATAGTAAATATTTTAGGATTTGTAGGCTGCTATGATCTCTGTCATAACTATTCCGCAAAAGCATCTGTAGGTGTCTATAGGCAATACGTAAATAAATGGACATGGCTGCA